GGGGGGGTACTTAAAACGTCATGATTACCTAATCGACCCAAGATTTCGGATCTGGTAACCGATTTTGATTTTTGTCTCGAAAATAAAGGGTGTTCATGAAGTATGATCCCACTCCAATTTAGGGCACTTTGGCTGAAACGGTTTAGGAAGTACAAATACCAAAAATTTTGAGGCAAAAACTGCGTATTTGAGAGGGGGTATACGTAAAACTGTATGAATCCCTGAAGTTAGGTCAAAACTGACTACACCATTGGAAAGAGATTTGAAAACTGATTCAAATCCAACCATGCTGCTAAGAGTTGGATTTTCGTTTCCTACCCCTCGATCAAATATATCAAAAAAAATTAGCAGAATGTCGTAACTCTCATAACCAAAATAGACAGTATTCATTTGTCACCAAATTTGGTTTGCAGCTTCCCTTAAGGTCCCTTATCATTCTCTGATTTTTAAAGAAAGATAATATTCAAATTTTGGACGGGGGGGGGGACCGGATGGCATTCTATGGATGGCCCACCCTTGTTGTATTCCAATTAGTGGCTAAATTTAAGCTGGCAAAGCAAAAAAGGGTCTTGATTCGTCAGGCGCGTACTAGGGGGCGGTGGGGGGGGGGGGGGGAAATCGCCCCTAGATGGGCCACTAGATAGCCGCCTAAAGGTAGCCAATTTGACCTACAAAACCCCTGTATGTAGGCAAATTTCGATGAACCGCCCCTCCCCCCTTCATACGCCCCTGTGATTCGTCAAGTGCATTTTCACTGGTAGATTGAACCTGTGGCGCGGCTGTAGTCGACCTAGCGTGTCGTTGCCGCTTACGACGGAAGTACACAATGCTGGGACGACTACAAGGTTCGACCACGTGTGTTATACCTTAAGCACTTTTGAAAGGTATTACAGTAGCAGCACTGGCGCTAATAGGAAGTACATAATGTAATGTCGTTTTAAAAATGCATATATGCGAGGTGGTTTACTTGTAATGGGGGTTGGCGGGGTCAACGAGCTTAGATGGACTGTGGGTCACCTTCACTCCGCGCCGCCCCTCCCCACCTCCGCTCCCCTCCAACCCGCGGACTTGTGGGAAAGCCTGCCGAACGCAAACCCGAGACCGACCGACCGAGCCCGAAGTTGAGGCCGAGCGTCCCCTCCCCCTACCCAGTCAGAAAAGGCATGACGAAAGGCTCCGTTTCGACGGCACAGGTCGAACCAAATGACAAAAATAACAAAAAAAACAAACAAAAAAAAAAAAAAACACGTCGAAACGATAGTTTTTCGACGAGTCGAGTCGGTTCGTCGAATGAAACGTTAGTGTGAGATCATAAAGGTTGTTCAAAGCAAGGAATACACAAATTGAGACAACACAAGGGACCCTACGGGTCAGACTGGAACTGAACTGAAAAAAGCATTGTTGGTGGGTTGGAGGAGGGGGGAACACGTACAATAAATATGTATTGATCGTTCTGACGGAGAACTACAAGGAGTCATCCTCTGCTATCATAATCGTCGTACACCCGATAAATCGCCATCACCGATAACCATAAAAACATAATCAACTAAAAATCCAAAATATTCACGAAAACTCACTAAATTTCGTTAAAAGACGGTAAAATTTACTTCCAAAATCATTGAATGGACTAAAGATTATTCCAACAATCATTATCCATGGCCTTTAAAAATAAAATCTCACCGGAAATCAACATAAATTAAGCAAAAAACCATTCGAGGTTATTGGTCAAATGAGTTATTTTCGCGGCATCAACCAATCAGAGCACATGTGTAACAGACTGTTAAGACTATAAAAAATATATTGTAATTCTACATACACACTAAATGGCAAGAGACAATTTTTGTACGTAGGCTAGATGTGTTGTCAATTCAGATGCGTACGTTATCTACCGTTATCTGCTATAATAAAGTGCACATGATATGTTTGCTTTAATTAATGTATACATGCACTGTAAAAAGACTGCCGTGATTTTACAAAATTTTCTCGGTTAATTTTCTATTACGAAACCTTTGTTTTTAACAAATTACGATATACCGTTACTTTACGAATTGCTTTGTAAAATCCAAAGCTCTAACTAAATAGTATGAAATTAGGTCCAATCTTATGACTTATGAACTAAAAATGTGCCTTTCGTAACGAAATATATCTGTAACACGAAATATTTTCGTCTATTGTTTTTTACAAAGCATTTCGTAACATTTCTTTTCGTAAAATCACGAAAACTCCTCACAGTGTGGCCATGTACGCTTTACAAATGTATACATTAATTAAAGTATACAATGTACACATTTGAATTGACAGAGTGTCCTTGTGCACTGAAACGAAAAAATCATTCCCTCCCAATTATTACTGAGACAGATCCAGGCGCGGTTTTATGGGAAAAGGGGGG